ACACTGGTGTTGGGGTGCTCTAGTCTACCTCCTTCATTTAGAAACGTGTTACTGCTACAATGCGTTGTCTGTTGCTGTGTTGTGCTAGTGCGTGCACGCACTGTGTGCTGGGTAGTGAAATATAGTTACTCTTTTGCCAAGCCAAACAAAGCAAAGTGTTGGAAAGAGAAGCAGTACAAATATCCAGTATCTCTGATGTTTACACAACTCACTGCAAGGAAACTGGAGTGAAAGAGTGAAATCTACCATGGTGGGTGGGTGTGCTTCTAAAGTACCACTTCTCACACCTTCCCTTACAATTTGTTTTGTCTACATTATTCCTATTTTAAGTATTTCATTTACAATATTTTATTATAAGCCCTTTTACAGTTAGAAGGTTCTATCTCAATAGGCTACTTAAAATCAATTTTACTGAATCTTTGTGGCACGTTGCTAAGATTTGTTTAGCTCCGTGTCCATCGGTAGTTTTACGACATCCTTGTTTTAAATCTCGACTGAGTAAATCCCCTACATAGTTGTGGTTACTATATAATACCTTCTAGCACGTGGCTGTTTTGTCATTTGCCTTTGACTTCATGGTAACCTTGACTTCATGGTTACAGTAGACTTGGACACTTCAGGTCAACTTAGCTTGCATTAGAGAAGTCTTAGTACGTCAGGCCTATTGTTCCAGGATCTATGTTGCAACAAAACTATCTTCTTGTGGCTAACAGTCAACAAAATGAAATATTAAAAAAAAAAGGTTTAAGATGTTGGCTCCAAATGACTCATTTTATGTGCTTTATGAAATGGATAACTAATTTTGCATATAAACTCATTCTAAGGTTAACCATCTTTTGTCTCTACCATCTCAATAGACTGAATTTGTGCTAGGTGAAAATGAAGTCTGTTACTTATACTGGCTGCGCATGTGGTCTAAGAGTTATATCAAATGAGCTTTTTTTCTTTAATTGGTCTGCTTTTGATGCTTAAACTTAGTAACCTGACTTTATTAATGACAACATCTGTGATTTAATATGGTTCCCAAACCCTACAGAATTACAGTAGGCTCATTTCCATATAGTAGTAATACAATAAATAAAAGCAACAGATTAGACTATACTTTCTTCTGGAGTGAATTTCAGAATAGATGGAACAGGTCAACATGTCATTTCATAGTGGAAAGGAACATCGGAAAGATGAGAATTCGCTGCTGACGTAACTATGCAATATCTTCACAAATCTGCCCTTGCGACTTTCTGACGGATTTGCCAAATATGCCTGCGTCAGTCATCCCTAAAGCGGTGGTACATCTTTGGGGGAGAAGGATGGCAGAGGAAAAGTACTGCCATTTAGCTGTGAGGCTGGAACAGAGTTGAAGTTAGTGGAGTAGAGAGGACAGAGTTATTCTAAAAAAGGCTTTAGTAGTGGAGGGAGAAGGATACTGTGCAGATGCTGCAGAGAAAGCAGAGGGAGTTTAAGGCTCAGCTGAATCGTGCTGGTAACTTGCAGCTTCATGGCTCCCAACAACGGTGCGCTCCCTTTTTTCGTCCCTCTTTCTCCCCTGAAAATAAAAGAAGTCCCAGGCTGCTGAGCTGAGAGCTCTTCAGTGCATTGGTTCCTTTGTCCTTTGCCATGGGCTGAAAAGGTGGCAAGATAGGTTCTGTGTTTCTTGGAGCTATGAACTCTTGCCCTCCTTTCCGTCTTACCTGTTCCTTCTGACCTGGGCCCTCTTAGCTCTTGAGAGCTTCAATACTTATCTTTTTCTCCACTCTGTCAGTCACCTTCCCTCTGACACCTTCTGCCTCTCTTTTCTGCCTCCCGTTAAGCAGCTCTCATTGGGAGAGATAGGAAAATATCTTAGGAAAATGGAAGGAAAAAGGATGGCTGAAGACAGCGTCTCAAGGATCAATGGGGCGAATAAACATTATGTCTATCTAACTAACTCTCCATGAGCTTAAGCCACTTTTTCCCCCATTGGTCAACTCCCATTCCTCATCATCCCCTCATTCCATGTACTGTGCTGAGAGAGGGGGGAAAGAAAAGAAGTAGAAGCAGAATATTAGCTGGCTCCTTGGTAATCTTTCAACCTAATTCATGAGGGAATATTGTGGGACATGGTCTCACTGTTAAGCAATGGCTAAACGGCTGGGGAAGACAAGTCATTAAGAGTTGTTATGTGAGTGATTGTCCGTGTTTATTTTATCCTTGGTGTGACTGCACTTGTGTTTGGTGTCTTCTGACAAAGGGCATCTAGTGGAGCTGGACACTGCTACTTGTTTTCTGCACAACGGGTATAAAGGGTCACTGTCTGGTGCTGCCAGGATTACATTTTATAAGTCGTCTTGTGGAGCTGCAGATGTGCATCACTAAGAACTTGGATGATATCTTCAGCCACGTACTTTCTTTCATGTTGGTCAAGTTTCATGCCATAATTCAGGCTGTCTTGTGAGCCTGAAAGCTGAAGTCTGTGTATTTAAGACAAGTGAAAGAGCCAATGATTGATGCATCTGACTTAGCTGGGGAGCATATCTGGACTTCTCAAGAAAGTGTGGATCTGTTAGGGGATGTAATTGCACGTAACTTGGAGAAAAGTGTTTGAAATGAAGCTCAAAACTGATGCTACAAAGTAAAACAGATAAGATGAAGCATCTTTGAAGGGAAGAGAGATGGAGGAGATTTTTTCTTTCGCAATCCTAACCTCTTGCCTTTCTGGTAAGGAAAAAGAGTAACTTTAAGAAGTGATGAACTTGTTTGATGAGCCTGACAGAGAATAACTTTTGTGTAGCTTGTTGTCTAATTTCTATAGTGATCTTTGTAACTAAAGGCTTTTGTTTGAAAGAAGATATCTTCCTATAGTAGGTAAGAGACTCAGACATATCCATATGGGATCCTGCAGGAAGATGTACAAAGTCCTGTTAATAACATATGCCAATTGCCGCTTCTAAGACTGTTGGAGCAGGGACTATATCTTTAACCATTACAAATCTGCTATTTACTCTCACTTGTCTTCCCTTTCTTGTGTGCATATGCACTCAGAATTTTGGGTCTATATGTGGAAACCTCATGTCTGCCTGTTCCTATTTCACAGCTTGCAAGTGTTGGAATGCAAGAGCATTATTAACCTGAGTGAATGATATGTAAAAGCAGCAAATCGCATTCCCTAGACAGTTCAAAATACTGCTCTGGTTGTTCTCGTGCTATTGGCACTGGACACTATTACATCTATTTTTTGCTAGCTGGCTATCAAACCCTGTTAAACTGCTAATAAATACTGGATGCTCTGTTATATTTTCTTGTTATCTTTTGTAATGAGAAGTCAGAGTTTGGCTTTCTTGTGAAAGGGATTCTCCTGCTATTATTATTAGTGACCTGATGCAGTAAATCCTGGCACTTAGAGGTTTTTATCCCTTTCTTTGGCCTCAGTACTTCTGTTTCTGTTCTGTTCTCAGTTCTCTTAATTCCAGATGGGTGGAAGTCCTTGTATGGGGAATTAAAAATATAGGTTGTTCCAGTCAGCGCACATTTTGCTCTCAAGGCTGCTTTGACACTAGAACATTTTTGACACAGTGAAATATTGCATTAGGGTTAGATTTCTATAGGCCAGAGTTGGGGAGCGGAAAAAGCTTTTAAAATAAGACAAGCTCTTTACACTTAGAGAACACAAATCCGATCAGAGAACTAAATCAGAGAAGTTTGTTTTGCTTCCTCTCATGCAGAGTTTCCAAGATGCTTGCGTATGCATAGAACTGGGCTGCCAAATCTTAAAATAGTCCTCGTTATACATGCAGTTGAGAAGTCTTTCTGACTGCATGTTGTACTCTGTATCTGTGCAACTACTCTGAATGTCATGATAGGAGAAGAAGAGCTGTTGCTGGTACTGCTCAGCCCCTGTTCCTTCCACTCTGTCAATACATGTAACACATACTATGGAAAGTCAGTGCCATCAAGCAAGAAAGTATTTGTCCTGTTGTAATAGCAGGTGAGCCAGGCCTGATTTGGCTTGAAGAAGAGAAACTTGGTCTCTTTTGTGACCTTTGATTAATTTTAGGAGCAGATTTTCAAAGGTAAAGGTTGGCATCCCCCTAGTCACCTCGTTCTGTTTGAAATTTTTAGACTTTCAACATCTCTGTGTTTGGAAAACAGTGAGAGGTAAATGTGAACTCTGTGCTGATCACTTGGTGTCTGTTGAGCTTTCTGGACTAGGAAATACCGTATATGATGCTACACTTGTCAAAGTTAATTAATCAGTATTAAACTTCAGAATAAAAATGGATGAGCATGTGGATAAGGTTCATCATTACCTCTTTTAAATTAAAAAACGAGAACTCTATGTTTGTTAACTTTCTGAATTTCATCTGTTGAAAGGATGCCAGGAAGTAGCAGCTGAGATAGATATCTAAAATAGAAGTCTGGTGCAGTAGAGTATTAAAGTACATTAAATGAGATTTGGTTGTTGCCCAAGGGGTTCTTTCCTTTGACCTGTGCTGATTTATTGTGCAAAATATTTCTCTGCTCACTCAGCATCATAAATTGATTTTTGAAGAATTTTTTTATTTTTTGAGTTAGGAAGCTGTACTATTTTTTTGCAAGCAAGATTTTAAACAAAAATTAAGTCTCTGTTCACTAAAAAACAGATTATGCCTTGTTGTGACTTTCTTATTAAGTAATAAGACTTTTTGAAGAAGCACATATGTAACATAACACCACTTGTTAAATTGCTATTTGTAGCTGGTATATGTGAAATGTCTTTAAAATGAAAGTTTTGGCTGTAGCTGGTGTATTCTTCCCTTGGAAGAGATGAGGTCTGTGAACACTGGACTCCTAAATTTTAATTGTAACTTTGTTGCTTTCCCCTCGGGAGCTGGAATTTGATTTCATCTCTAATTCCTTAAGCCTAAAATGGGGGGAGGGGAGGGTAACTTCATTTTATCATGTTAACTCATTAAACGTTATCCAGTGTTTGAATGCAACAAGGAACTGTTATAAATGCTGAGTATTGTCTATCTTTTTCTACATAGTGTTGACAATTTTGGACTCGGTCTTCTGCTTAAGACTAAGCAGATAAAACGCATGGTATCATCATATGTTGGAGAGAATGCCGAATTTGAACGCCAGTATTTATCTGGTGAGCTTGAGGTTGAGCTTACACCTCAGGTAAGAGTGGGTCTTCAGGAGAGTGGTGATTTCTTTTTGTCTAAAATAGTGATTATGATAAGTTTTTCTTAAAGTGTTTTTTTAAATTATTTTGCAGTCCAGATGTTTTCTCTGGTGCATGTATGTACAGTAAGACAGATGGTAGTTGCCATCTTCAGATCACGGGCTGCGGACTTCTGCTGGTCTGTTAAGAACTGACCAAATTTTTTGTGTAAATTCCTTTTACTGTTTGTTGCCTTACACTCATTTCAACTAAATATATATAAATATAAATGTTTTATTGTACAGTGTTTGGTTTTGCTAGATCTCCTGCGTGGTAGAAAAACACATGAAGTAGGTCTGGCCCGCTGCTGTGGTCCATATAAGGGGAAAACGAGTCCGAGAATTCCTGGAATGCCATCTTGGTCGCATCTGTGCGTGCCCGTAGGGGTATCGTGCGTGCAGTGCCTGCCATCTAGTGGTTAGGAGTCAAAAGAGGAGCTTTCAGTTTGCTGTGAGACTTAAAAAGTTAAGGATACCTTACTCCTATTGTGCTTGCGGATTAAATCTCAACCGAATTAATCTCTGTATAGTATTACGATTTTACTATTTACAGCTTTACTTTTTAGCACCACAATTATAACTATTTTAGCGCTGCCAGGCTACATGCGTAGCCTGAATACAATGAGATCTTAAGTCAGAGTAGCAGTCATATGCCACTGAGATCTGGTTTTGCAAAATTAGTAATATAACTTTAAAGTTTGCAGCATGTCACTGTGTGATATTTCCAAATTTCCATCTCCTCAAACACATAACTGGCTGTGTGCACTGCCCAGACAAATTATGTAGATCCAGCGGGACAGTACCAGGGAAAATGCGGCCTGTGTTTTGGAGACGGGTAAGCTAGATAACAATGATGATCTTTTCTTGCTTTAAATTCAGAAAAATATTAATAAAATGTGTGGTAGGGCACTAAGGAAAGGCAGACTGCCTTTCATGAGTGTCCCCCCCTTCCCCCCCCCGACTCCATAGTTGGAGCTAATAAGGAATTTGGGATGTTAGTGTCTGTGGTCTGACTGGACATAGGGCAGAACATAACCAGGGTGGTCAAACTGAATGGAAATGCTGTTCCATCAACTTCTTGACATTTTTAACAAAGAGAGGCTAGATTACTTGACTCCTTCTTCTTTCTTAATTTGCTAGGCATGGTTGTCTCAACTTGGAAGGAGGTATTTATTAAGTTTCTCCTGAGATGTTGGAGAATGAAACTTAAACAAATATACAGAGTTCATATAAAAGAAAAACCTCCTGTGGCCAAGTGGGAAAGAGAAAAAAACTCTGCACTCTTCTCAGAGGAACAGTTTGGGAAACAAAATAAAGGAAAGGTGTTACAAAAGGGACAACAAAATGCTGGGGCCTGGGAGACAATGATGAGTTCTGTGACTGTGCGCTGTTGAGCAACTCATGGCCAAGTGTGAAGTTTTTCTTGCCAAATCCTGTCCCAGTCCTGCAAAGGAGAACTAATGGGAAGAAGAAATAGATGACAGTGTACTGAGTTCAGAAGGAAAAGCCCCAAATGATAGGATATAAAAATAAGTTCACGCAAGTGAAACATTAGAGTTTGATTTGATTTTTCCAAGTGGCTAAACTCTTGAACGTGTTCTCCCATAGGGTACGCTTGCTGAACGCATTCGAGCAGGAGGAGCAGGAATCCCAGCGTTTTACACCAGCACCGGCTATGGGACGCTGGTGCAGGAAGGGGGGGCACCTATCAAATACAATACAGATGGCACTGTTGCCATTGCCAGCCAGCCAAGAGAGGTAAGATGTCATTTATTATAAGGAAGCTTTGAAAACTGCATTTCTTATGGATTTCCAGGATAAATAGTAACTTAAGCTTCTCCATGCCAAGTTTAATCCTGACATGTTGGATTAATAGCAGGGCTGTGGTACTGTATGCATTAATTTCCCTCGCCGGTCATTCCTGTCATTTCTGTCCCCTGTGAAGTGCTAATGAAGTTCTCCTCGCACCTTTAAGGTGACTTAGCATCAAGAAACTGATACAGGGGAAAACCTTCCCTGCTGAGTTATTCTTCACTGGACTCAGTTCTCTGACCTGATTCTCTGTATATTTAAACAAATCTTGTACCAGGCCAGTGCACTGCCCAATACGAATTAAGAAGAAGCTGCTATAAGGGAGGCAGGTGCTCCTTAAGTAGTGTCATATGGATTAAGCAGCCCTGCCACTGAACAGGAAGCTTTAGCATTGGAAGAGACAGGACGTCTTCCTGGTAAACAGGAAAAAGCTCAACCGACACAAACATATTCAGCAAACAGATATACCAACAATTGAAATGCAGTTTAGTATGAGCCTTTGAAATTGCAAAGAAATAAAAAACAGTGCGGCTTCCAAGTGAGAAGCAAGGACTTCACATTGAAATTTCAACATGAGGACTTCCTATTGAAACTGAATGGAGAATTTGGAGAAGGGAAGACATTTCTCAGTACTATGACTGTACTTGAAGAAATGGAAGTAGGCTAATGTTGTATGTTCCAGTTAGGCTGCAACAGGCATTACCATTCTTCTACCTGAAGAATCTCAGTAAGATAAAGGTAACTTTTTTCATCCCAAGGATTTCCTATATTTTATACATGATATTCCCATTATCTGATCAATAAATTAGTCTTTTCTTTTCTTAATTTTCTTACTGAACATGTCATTATGATATTTTACCATTTCAAGGACTGTTTCCTTTATTAAATAGCTTATAATTTTGATAGTGATTTTCTTCTCCCTTTAACATTTCTCAAAAAGCATATCTTACTCTCCTCAGTCTTCTTGGGGACTAATAACATCAACAGCATCATTTGGTCAAATTCATTCTCCGAATCCATTTCACATCTAAGTGTCATTTGTTAAAAGGAGATCTGAGCTTTTATAAGAACCCAAAACTGTACTCTCTTCCTGTCTCAGAAATTTTAGGTTATGCTCCAGTAGTACTTGTGGATACTCTAACCACCTTCGACACTGTTAGGAGAAATGCTATTTCATGTTTCTATATAGGATTTGTGTCCTACGTGTTTGGTGGTAATTGGCAATTATAAATATAGACACCATCTTTTCTGAGGCAGTAGTACTTTTTACCTTGATTTTTTTTAAATATTCTTTTGCTTTTTTTTCTGCGATGGTTTCTAGTGATATGCAATATTCAGTAATGAAAATGCTTGATGAAGAGGTTTAGTTTTGGTTATTGTGTAATCCAGATTTTAAGGAATATTAGTTTTACTTCTGGCTCTGTGTTTCATGGGAATGTCCATATTCTTAGGAACTGAGGCCTTAGATACAGCTCTACATAGACTTGGGGAACTGTCATATAAAGCAAGATGGGTAAGAACAATGTTCTCGAAGAAGCTACGGTCTGCAGTGTGGCTGGGAGGGCATTTTTTAATTTCAGGCAGCTTGACAGAGAACTTGGAGAGAGTAGAGACATAGTCCAGCTAACTTCCCGTGGGAGGACTGAGCTGGCTTCAGAGAGTGTGAAAATGGCCTTATTTCCTAAAATTCATCTAATAATATAGGAGGAATTCCTTTTATCTTCTTCATTTTTGACCGTTTTTTATCTTTGAGTTTTATTTCAGTATGTGTTGTAACACAGTTCTTCATGAATAATTTTAAAAATAATCTGAATCCCTGTTTTAAGGATTTAACAAGGTCTAGTACCTTTTTGAGGGCATCAGTGATCAGATGGATTAACTATGTATACGCTGAGCTTACCCATGTTGAAACCAAACTGATTTCCAGTGACATTCAGTTCTGCCTTTATCCTATGAAGTGGTTCAGTGATGAGCTTCACTTGTGATTGTGAAGAGAACTTAATTATGTTTTAGAGACTCTAGGAATAAATTTGGCAGAATACTTCATTAACTTCATTCCGTTTCTACATTAAATATAATTCTATAATTTTAGATTGCTTCCCTCACACAGTTGTTACGAATGAGCTTGACAATGAATTGGAAAAACTCTTACCTTGATGATAAGAGATTCTTCCTATATTTATTTTTACAAAATGAATTTAGTTTGGTAGTTTGTCAGTTTTATATTCTGACTTCTTGCACAATATCATTAAAAATACTGCTCATAAATGCAGAGAAGACCTAATGAAATTCAGCCTGTCAGATGAAATGAACAAATGATCTGAATTGAGTACTCAAGTCTTAAATCCTCTTCATTTAGATTTCGGGTCTCTGCTGGTGGGCATACTTTTCCCACAGTGAATATGAACTTTTTCAACAGTTCTGCTTTAGCACTTTGGTTTTTAGTTAGCTGGTAGATGTGCACCAAAATGCATGTTAAATTCCAGTAGATGGAGCAGCAGGAACAGGCATCTGATTCTCACTGTGTTTCAGTAAACGAGGACACTAAAGATTATGATAAATCTGTGTTTTACAGCTTTTCCATGCTTCTCTCTGATTACATACTTGGGCTACAGTTTTTCAGATAAAACTGTCCATGGATGACTTAATCCCATAATATAAGTATTATATGAGAGGTCTATTTGAAGAAACCTACATCTCACTCGTGTACTTTTCTGTATAGGTGCGAGAGTTTGATGGTCGTCACTTTATTATGGAGAAGTCAATTACAGGGGATTTTGCTCTTGTGAAGGCATGGAAGGCTGATCGTGCAGGAAACATCATTTTCAGGTGCGGCTTGTTTACCAATGGGAAAAGATACTTTAATGGTTTAGATAATGAAAGAGAAAGAGAATCCTCTCTCCTGTGTGGAGGCAAAAAAGTGTTTTACTGACTTCATTTTCATTCATATTGCCTTTCCCTA